TGTAGTCTAATAGCTTAAGCTTAGACCAATTTTGTAGTTAACAAAGAAGAAAAAATAGAATGTCTAACTTACATCTTAAGGAAATCGTTTTTTTTTTTGATAAAAGCAGGGAAAATTAACCCGTCAAAGTTTTTTTGAGCGAGGAAACAGTAATTGTGTAGGTTTTAACCATCAAAACTTCCATTTGATAATTTTTTCATAGAAATTATAAAAAATTGATTTTAAAATTTTTACAATTCAAACTGAAAAAATTAGCACAAACACGATCAAAATATAAATAAAAATGAAGTTACTATTCGGACCAATTTGAAGCAAATTGTGCCGTTTTTTATGTGTTCACTTTTTAAATAATTTTTCATGTAAGTCTAACTTATATGAATTTTATTGCAAGCTTCTTCCTATAGACGAATAGAAGCTCAAATTTGGTTGTACTTTCTAAAAAACGAAATCATTTTTGATCGACTGATCAATTTTGCTTCTGAAACTAGTTTGCTAGGCTCAAAGAACAGCATTTTTTTAACTATGAAACTGCGTATCAAAAATGCAACCCAAAATTATTTTTTCTTACCCAAATAACATTAAATGAGAACTTCAATTCTTGTTAAACAAACATTTCACTATAAATGTTCAATAAAATGTAAATAAAGCTCATAATACTTGCGCAAACATAAATTTAGTTTTTTTTTGCCTAGAGAAAACTCAAGCTCTATATTTTGAAATGGTGGATCAGTTTGACCATGTAATGATAACAGTTGAATGAAAAATAGTGCTGAATTTTCCAAAAAGATATTCAAAAAATTTTTGCAGCAGAATTGACATTATTAAGTACGATGGGTATTTTTATGAATTATTGAACAAATTTATTCAAAGTAATAATTCAAAAATTATCCATCAGGTTTTTTTTAGATTAAAAATTCTACGACTTGTTTAATTCAATTACTTTTTGCAAAGTTTTTGGCGCGCGTTATCTAACTGGTAAATATCTTTGGTGAATTAAGTCTATAGTTAAAGTTGAAGGTATCATAGCGTGCTTTCTGAGTTCATGAGAAGCCAATGGTAAGAGAATTTATAATGGTTTTCAGACTAATAATTCTCAGCCTGTTTGATTTTCACTTGCTAATGGAAACGAGAATCTCGGAACCCGGCTCAATAACTTGGCTCAACAATAGTTCAAAATGATTTTTCTTATTGCTCCCTGTTTTTCTGTCTGCTATGATTCTGTTTTTTTTCTCAATCTTTATTCCTTCTAGCTATTCGAACTTTCCATTTGTGTTAATTTACATTTTAACGTAACGCGCTTAGCCGTTAACCACCTAAAACTATAAAAACAGCAATTTTGGTATGCCCGAGGGAAAGAGGAAAAGAACAGTTTTTTTCATTAGAAACGAATTTAGTAGATGTCGGAGCTGACCCCATCTTTTAAGATACGTTATAGATTTCCACGCTCCAAGTTATGTATTAACTCTGAGTATTGAGTTTACAATGTATTGTTATAGGGATTGGAATTGGTACGGTTTCATTGTTTGCATGATGATAAGAGAATAGAAAAAAGTGATATTTTTTTGGGTTTTTGAGTAAAAACATCATTTTTTGACAAAATGTTTGACGCGCTTTATCTGTCTGCTAACAGTTTTTGATGTATTACGTGTAAAAACAGAAAAAAAAGTATCATAAAAAATTTATTGAGTTCATGATGAGTCGATGACAAAAGTTTTTGCCCAAAAATTGACAGTCCGTTTTTGCTCTAAGAACTTCAAAACCTGACAAGATTTGATTTATTGTGCGCTATAACATTTAAATAATATTTTAACTAATTAGGGCAAAACTCTATCTAGCTGCAACTATGTTGAAACCTACTAAAACAAAAACCTACTAAAACAAAAGGAGAAAAAACTACAAAAAATTGTATACATCATTGCATCGTAAATTACTTTTACCGCAATTTCATAGTAAATAATCAAAAAATCGATAAAAAACTGCATAGTAGATAAAGTTGATGCCTTTTTATGCTCAAAATTTTTGTGTGATTTCCATCGTATTGAACTTGTCTTTCTGGTAAAATGACTAATTCTTTTCTTTCTTAGCTCCTTCTGTATTGAAATAGTCCTATTCAAAACTAGGAAGTCACCGTGTTTTTTTTCTAAAACGAGACATTTTATACCGACATTGATCATCATAAAACTTCACATCTTCAAGGTTGAGCCAATAATCCAATATGGGTTGTTGTTAATGGTTGCAAGCCTTTTTCAATTTTAAGTCTAATTTTTGTTGCGAAAGAAGCCGATAAAATTAATCTTCTATAGAAAAAAAATTGTTAAATTCTCAGTTGAACTGAAGCAAAACAAAAATCGGGTTTTGAATTGGTTGTATGTTTACTATTTTCTGAAATTTTGAAAAAAATCAGTCAAAAAAATTTGCCTTCGAATGACTTCTTCAATGAACTTTTTGCTGAAACCATTTACAAGTACAAGACAAAAAAATTAAATTTTTTCCTAATTTCTAATAGTGTTTTGCGAGAAGAAAATCAATTATGGTTCCTTGAAAAACCGGGTATCTGAAAATTTGAACATCTTGAGTCATCATGAACTTTCGGTGAAGAACCTAAAACAAAAAGTTAAGTTTTTATGATAAATTCCAAGCTTGTTCATATAAAATTTACAAAATGCTAGCTTGAGCCAGTTTTATGTGCTTCTTGTGATGTCAAATACGGTTTTAGTGCAATTTTTGTAGTAAGATTTTGAGTAATTGTAATTTTACGGTCTTCCAAAATTTTTTGAAATGCCACCACAAGTGTTAAATAACGCCGATTCTACTATAAAAATTTGTCCCAGTTTGTGCTAATTTTTGAAAAAGTGCAATTTTTTTTGAAATCTCTAAGATTTTTAAAAAAAATTAGTAAATTTTGAAAATAAAGGAGCAAAATCATTCGGGAGATGGTTAATATACTTGGGTATCTAGTGGAAAGATATAGTGGCTCAAATCTGTGGCCTTTGAGATAAATTGTTTTTTAAGGCAAAGTTGAATCAACAGATGTAATTTTTTCTTCATTTTTCCAATTTTTTTTAAGTTTGCTTCGGCAAAATAACAGTATGGCTGACCATCTGGTCAAAGACAAGACGGCTCTAATCTTTGCTTAATTGAAATGTACCACTTTTTCTGAAAATCTAGATTAAAGTATAATTGATATAAGAAATAACCTAATAAGTGTGTTATTAAATGTTAACTGATTAGGATAAGCTCTCTTATTTCAATCCTCTCATTAATCTAAATTTCCTTGATAAATATTATCTATTTAACTTATTTGTTTATTTTGTTGTTATCATGTGTACTTGTTCGGAGAAATAGATTCTTTAGTTTGAGAACAAACAAATGTTGTTCAATCGCACCCAATGTACATATATTGAAACTTAGGTTTTTTTTTTTGCGGTGAAAACTTAAAGAGTTTCCTTACAAGTATAAAAAGAGATAAAATATGACAAATTTTTGGTTGAAACCGGAATTTGTTCGGATATTTGATTCATAATATACGCAGTTTATTCTGGCAAATTTTTAAGGTTTTTTCTCATATCAGCGTTCTAAAAGAGGTTAAAATGTATGAAAAATTTTAAATTTTACTGTATAGATTTAAAAATATTTCAGCACTACTAAAAAAAAATTTTGTGGTTTCATTGATGTACTTCGTTGGGAACAAATTTCATTCCGAAATTGATATATCTGTTTCTCGTTTAAATTTAGGTTTAATTTTGGGAGTTTCGAAACAAAATTTTTCGAGTTTTGGTAATAAAGAAAAAAAACTGCTAAAAAAATCAAATTTTATACATAATAGTTTTGAAACGGGGATAGTAACTTTAGTTATAATAGCATTAAAAAAGAAACGTTCATAATAATTTTCAAACAGAAATTAGCCAATCAGATTTTAGGATACTAATACAAAGCAAATTTTTTCGGATCTCTATCTCAATAACTTATATAAAAAACTTTGTTTGTAAGATGGTCACATCAAAAAAGTTTTGTAAGATTTTATTCAATTTTCTGTTCCATGAAAACAGTGAAAATGAACAATTAATCTTGCATCTGCCACTCAATCGCCATGCTGAAATGTTTTTCGAGTTTTTTCAGAAATTATATATCAAGTTTTCTTCCAGAACTGCAAATCTAGTCACAAAAGCACGCGTTAACACGTTGCAAGCAATTATGTTTGTAAAAGCTGATGCGATTTTATGTATATGTTATTTTGTACGGCTCCAATTAGACTGCTTTATTTTCTTTCTTAGTGTTCAGTTTTCGAAAATGTTGAAAAAATGTAAATCTTTGGGCGGCTTTTTGTTATTCAAAGCATTTTGATTAGGAATATTGATCTAAATCTCTAATTGTCTCTAAAATTTTTCATGGAGTTGATTAAGTTTACTTTAAATGCTGTAATGGACTATCAGAATAACCAGCGCTTTTGGGTTGATCTCGCAGTTTATTCATCCTTGAATCAGCCAAAGAATGAGTGAGAATCAGTGATGCAATTTTACTGATTATAGATAAGTGGCCCCTGATCAGGACCTGAAACCGCGCTGAATATTTAAACAAAAAGTGGAGCACTAAATCATGGCCAACTCAGTGTGATGATAGCTATTTCAAAAATATGAGCTGGTTCGCAGATATTTAAGCGCTGATAATTCCCATTGGTTCTGTTCGTTATTATTATCATATTTAAAAGTTGAATTGATTTATTCTTTTTTGTTCTAATTTGTAATTGTACATTTACAATCCCGTGTTAGTTGCTAATTATTATTTTTATGATAAATTCATTTAGTAGCAGCATGTTCGTTTAGCCAAGTTGATATTTTGACGAAACGCAACTTTTTGTGATACCAACTAATTCGAACAGCTTGATGAAAGAAATTGATATTCTTGATCATGTCAAGAAGCAATTCGTTTGATCATGTAAAGAAGCCAGAAAAGGAAAAGAGATATTGAAAATATTTCGACAATTACTGAAAATGCTAAAATTAAATATAAAAATTACAAAAATAGTTTTCTGCAAAACTTAAGCTCCAATGCTCTATATATTTACAACTTTATTTTGCAGAAAACTCCATTTCAGTTTAAACATGTCGAGGTTGAGATGATTGTATGTAAGTGAAACTAAATACGTTCGTCCATTGTTGTGCTTTAGCTTTTTGTTTCATTTGTCATTTTGCACCGGTATTGAGTCACAGCTGCCGATCCATTGGATAGTGACAAGCGCCTTGAAGCGTATTCGGAGCTCTAAAAGCTGCACCGTAGCCTAAAGATGAGCTCTGAGGACTGTGTTTTAGTCTGAACTGCGACAACCCTGCCGCCGATGCGTCCCGACTGTACATGTATTGTGTTGCGGCGGCCGCCGATGTCGTCCCGTAAGGACAAGGCGGGGAGGGGTTAAGAGAGGACATTCCGGCGTTCATCATTGCGGCGGCCGGAGTTCCGGATGCCACCGCGGCGGGATTTGGGTTGAAACTCCAGGGGAAGGGTGCTTTGCCAGGAGCGAGGGGTGAAGCTGCAGCGGCCGTCATTTTGGTCCAGTTGTTGTAGTACCCGGCGGTGAGTTGTGTGGAGTAGAAGTCGTGGGGGTCGTACGGTGCGGGCATGAAGTTCATTCCGAAAGCGGCCGCATTTTTGTACTCCTGCAGCTGGTTTCGCTCCTTCTTTCGCCACTTAGCTCGTCGGTTCTTGAACCAAATCTGCAAAACAAAACAAGTTTAGTAAAAACCTCAATAAAATTTCTGAAGATTTTATATGAAACCGTTAGAAACCGACTTCCTTGCTAACTTCGTTTAAATTTTGGGGATTTGCAAAAGATTTTCTTTATTGCTGTCACCTAACTAGAAGATAAGCTGCGTCTTTTGTTTTACGGCCCAAAACTGATGTTTATTTTAATGTGAAAATTGATTCATATTGCCCTATACTGATTGGTTGAAATTAATTCAGCTAGAGAAAATATTGATTATCATTCAAAATAGAAGCTCGATTGAAAATTTAGTAATTTTAGACCGAATAACAGAAAAGACCCGATGAAATTACAGAAAAAAGTTTGCTCGAACATCATATCGACAATTTTTTTTTCTCTAAGTTTCAATGTTGTGAACTTCAGCTCAGATATGAAACATTTATAGGGTCACGAAGCTCTGAAATTTTTGTTTGGATATTTCAAAAACTGCTTTTCTTGCAATCTAATACAATTATTCAATTGTCTTTGAAATTAAGTGCTCCAACTTACTCTGACTTTCGCCTCTGGTAAGTTAGTCCAGGCCGAGATCTCTTCCCTGGTTGCCATATCTGGGTAGCGGTTCCTGGCAAAAAGAGTCTCCAGTTCCTGGAGCTGCTGACTGGTGAAATGCGTCCGCTGCCTTCTCGTCCTTTTATTCTTCTTATCTTCATCATCTTCGTCTATTGCATCATCATGTGCTGTTACGTCATCTGCTGGACTGTGATTGGCTGATATTTTTGTCGAGCTCTGTTCGGTTTCAGTTGCAGTGCAGTTGTCGTCCGGGTTATTTTCAGTCTGGTTTTGGGACCCGGAGGAAATCTCGTTGTTGTTTGAAGAGTATATCGTGTTGGAGTCATTACCTGTCGAAATAAAATCAAAGTTGATCACTTAGAGTCGCTTTTATTATCAGTTAAGCAAAAAGATTACTGAAATTAAGTTATCTTAGCTTTCTTAACGACTTAATCCCAAATATATTGAATCCTAGTTTGAAACACGGGAGATGGGCGCCAAAGGTACTTTCGGGCTACTTTTGATTGAAAATGCAGATATGTATATATTTTTGTATTTATAACCTCACAAAATTTGTAACAAAATTCAATATTTGTCACCACTTTTCCTTAATATATTGCGACATCTCTTGATGTGGAGAATCAAACAGAATCTAATTATTAAAATTTTTTAATGGCTACTGAGGAATTCCTAAATTGTCTTTAATAAAATTTTAGTGAAATATCTCAAGTTCAAAAAAAGCAATTAAATTTTATTGCTCTGACACTAGTATATCTGGCTACAAAAAAAATATTTCGTTTGAAACAATATTTGTTTTGATGTAAAAATGTATATTGATCAACTATCAACTTTTTTGAGTTTGATTACCTAACTAATTTTCAAAAATGTATTTTTTGCTTAATCAGAACTAGTAATCACTAATCACATTATAAATACCTAAACTTGCCGATATAGAAGCCATATTGCAAATATAACTTTCAAGAAAAATAAATGAGCTGGGAAAGTTACAAGTTGGGATAATTGAAATATAATTGAAATACGCACGCCCAATTTCGAAGTTAAATATTATTAAAAGGTTGCAAATTTTATATCTATATTACATTGGTCCAAGCAACAATTACTGACAAGTTTCTGGAAACTTTTGAACTAAAATGATCAGTTTTTCCTTGGAAATTGTTCAAGGGTGTTTTGTTAGATTAACAAAAGTTAATCTCAAAGTGAAAAGGAGATCTTTAAAAAGTCAGGTTGAAAAGCCCGGAAAATCCCGTTGAATTATGAAAGATATTCTAAGACTAATTTTGATGCCCCCTGCAATAATAAATGGCTATCAGGCAGCGAGTACTTTTCTAAGAGACCGGCAAGGGCCTTGTTTTCCTTCTAATTATTTCAGTCGCCTTCAAGACTGGTAAGACCTGGGTTGAATGTCGGTTTTAGAGGGATAACTGGTTTGGGTTTTGGATTAGCGGGATTAAAAACATTCCGGTAAACAAAGTTTTTAGCGCCACCCGTTATCGGATTAATCTGTTTAAAGTTTATCTAGATTTAAATTCTAGGACTGTTAGAAATAGGATTCGCTCAAAAGTTGCACAATTAATTCGATATTGTTTTAACCACATCTCGACGTGGTGTTATAAACAGATCAAGCCGATTTAGGATTAGCATTGATTCTTGTCCAAATAAATGACCCCAAACCAGCAAGGTAACTGTTTTTTAGGGTGAAAGGCACGGGGTATTTACCAATCTCAAAGTACAAAGTATTTAATTTTACGTCACGTCATCAAAATTTAAGCTGAGAGCTCTCCAAATTGAACTCCATTACAGGAAAAAAAAACAAACGGCCTCATAAAACTTTTCGATCCATTTACCAATCGTAATTTGAGTAATTTTTTGATGAGTTTCAAAATAATAAACAAAAAATCATTTGAAAAAAAAATCCAGCAGAAACAGATAGTTAGAAAAAAAGGCAGAAATGAACAGGCAAAAGTGTCAAAATCTAGTTTTCTGCAAAACAAAAGTATTCACCAGAGTAAGGCATCCACTAAAAAAATTTTGAAGTTTTTTGTCAATTGTTTTCCAAGCGCAATTGTGAGCAAAAATTTAATCTTACCCGGACTAAGTTTAATCTTAGCAGAATCCAAAGACGAACAGCCCGTTCCTCCATTTCCAAAGCCAAGTCCGGTAGAGGGAGTTGAAATAAACAGAGGCGCGGTCGATTTCAGCAGGTTAAGATGGTTGTTTCCAGGTACAATCCCAGCGAACGATCCAGGGGTAAAGTCGAAGTTCTGCCCATGATGTTTGGTGTCTGAGATCGCCGAGATGCCGTGGCCTCCTTGGGCGAAAATGGACTGGGGCAAAAAAGCGGCCGAAAACTGGGCAACTGAAGACGACGAGACTCCTGGGATGAAGTTCGACTGGAAGCTCAGCTGATGGTCGTTCGAGTGATTCTGAAGTGGGATGAGAGAGGAAGCGAGCGAGGAGTGAATATTTAAGTTTTCACCCCCAACGCCAACGCCAACTGACGGACTTGTGTCGCGGTGGCTGTCTGCTGTTAGATGACGAGGGTGGTTTTGCAGTAGGGTACCACCACTATTGCCACCAGAGATGCCAATTTGTGGGGGATTTAGACTGTGATGTGTGGGTTGTGAGGAAATAATGGGATGCGGCGTAATGTTATTAGAGCAAAGTACAAGTGAGGAATTAGGGTTGTTGTTTTGGGTGGCGGCGGTTGCAGAGGTGGGCATACGTGAAGAATGTGTTGCGGAAACGGGATTCGGGATTACTCCCGGATTAATGACCCCGACTGAAGAAAGATCCGCGAAATCCAAGGTGTGCGAGGAAAAGGAATCCATGAGGATCTACGTGGGTTAGCTGAGGTGTTGTGGGTGTTACAGTTTACAAGATAGAACAAATTCCAGTTATTCGATTTGATGAGATTTCTAATCTTCCACAAAACACAACTTATCTTTCACTGAATCGCTGCGATTTTAAAGAATTTAGCCCAAAAAGATTGCCTATCCGTCCTGCGCTCCAATTGGCTAGCGCTCTCAGCCAATAGCATTGGAGAATAGTGCAATATAAGAGGCTTTGAGAGGGGGCTAAAGGGCTAAGACGGGTGCTGTGTGACCAGCTATCAGCGAACAGCGGGAACAAATTGGATCCCATAAACAAGCAATAAAGCCTCTATGATAACATATTAGATCGCTATCCCATTGCAATTGTGGTTTGTACAAACAAAACTGAATTAAAAAGCGCTACTAGGGATCTTATCTTTTTAAGTTGGCCTATACCCTAAACTGTCAAAGAATTGTGGTCGATTTTTTTCAGACAAAAAAAACGTTGCTATAAGCTTCGTTACACCGATCGGTTTTTAAATACCAAACCATAAGAGCCGAGAATATAACTGATTACCACATTATTTGATTACTTTGAAGATTTATGTCGAAAGAAGCGAAAGTTCAAAGCAGGTTTTATAAAAATCATTGACAATAATTGGCCATAGTTGGCATAGGAGGACCAAAAAATTGTACGGGCCGGGGTTAATGTCATCATTGGATATTAAAAACTAGTTGACTATATCAACAAATAAAAGATTATTTTAACTCAATATTTTAATAAGCCAATTTAAAACAAGCAAACTACTTCGTGTTTCTACAGGACTCTCGCTATCTTCTCAATTCGTAGTGCCCGTTTTTTTGGAGAATCTGAACTTTGGTTGTGTTTCACGGCATTATTTACGGGTGAAAACTATGAAAATGATCGAAGCTTTCTCGAAATAAAACTATATAGTATACGATTATCCAGTGGTCAAAATTTTCCGAAAAGTGCCAAAGAAAGACTGGAGGTCTTTTCACATGCCGATGCACAGATTTCAGACAGAAACCAGTTTTTACGGCAACTCTCAGTCGGTCCGGACTTTCCAGGCGAAAAGCGAAGTGAGTCAGACTCGTCTTTATTTCAGGTTTTTTCATTTGGAGTGAAGCTCAACAGAGTCCAGAAATCCTCAATACGCGATGGCGAATAATGTTTTAACGTTTGTGTTTTCCCCTTTTTTTCAGCCAAGAAACCAAAAATCAATATTTGAGTCTCAATTAAAAAAAAATCCAATTTAAATTAATATTGATTGCTTTTGAGAGGCCCTATTTGTTTGACAGATTTATATTTTCAAACACAGATTGAAGCTGACCTAAAATTTGGAATAACTTTTTTACTACACCAAGTTAGTACAATATATCTGAGAACTTATCTCGTGGATTGGAATAAAAATGGGTCAATTGACTTTTTTGAAAAATTATAGAACTGATTTGTAACTGTTTTGAATTATCTGTCCTATAGCCAGAGGAAAAACAAAGTACACTTTTACAACAACAATGTTCTCTATTAAATTGTCCAATTTAACAAAAGATGGATAAATTAACTTGGAAAATTAACTACAGAAGTTCAGTTAGGATTGGGTATCAATTACAGCCTCTTTAGATAATGTGTGGCAACAATGACAAAAACAAAACACGCCCAAAAAGACCCTGCCCTCCTGCTAACAACCCCGCCCCCCTTCGCAGCCTCGAGACATTTTCATTCTCTGTCTTCTCACTCTTTGATCCACCTCTGAAAAGACGGATCAACATTTCGACAGAACCAAAAAAGATTTTTCACAGTAGAAAATTTGTTCACATTAATTTGAACTCATTTTAAATAATGCAGAGGATTTAAATTGCTCAACTTTCTCAACAATCAAAAGTTAAATTTTGATTTGTTTTTTTTTTACTTCAAATTTTAAGCAAATATGAAGTTTCTTTGAAATGATGCCATGCCAATTGTTGTTTTACAATTATTTTGACGAGATTTTGAAGCCGCTCTCATTTTTGTTTCAAAGCCTCGCTGTCTAGCGTTGTCTTGAATTCGATTCAGCTGAAATGTCTGAATATCATTTCGAATGAAGTTTTCTTGATTTCTCTCCGATTTCAGGTGACGCGGTTTTATTCTGGCTTGATTTTAGCGTTGGTATAAACATATGTTCAGCTGCGAATACTTGAGCCCCGATAAACTGAATTACCCGAAATCAATATGAGCATCTTTCACAACAAAACTTGACCGTCTATCGATGATCTTGATCGATAAGGGGTGGATTAAAGTGCACTCATAAAATGAATCCCGGAAACTCCAAATCTAATCCCTGGGCAGATGCTAAATGGATAATGCAAATACCGGGATTCACTCCTTAATATATTAATTAGTTATTTAATTAAATAATTATATATAAGTTAAAATCCAATTTCTGGAACTCAAACCCGGGCGAGAGGTATTCAGGAAAGGCTTTATTTTTGAAAAAAAACTTTTATTTTTTTTTTGTTTTTTAAATAATGAAGCTCAATTTTAATTTTCCCCGAGTTCAATTATTCTGAATGCTACTTTAATCATTTTTTTCATCATATCACAGATCGTCAGAATTTTAAAATCCTCTAAGTGAATTGGAGATTGATTTTTATTACAACTCAATTTCCACTTGTAACAGTTATCCAATCGATAATCGAGTGGCATCTTTCAAGAGTTGAGGAATTAATTTAAGTGGTATCTTAGGTAAAATTTGCAGCAACGGGACGCAGTTTTTATGGCCATTTGAGGGCGATTTAGTAGCATCTCCCTTCGGGTGAAATTTTAACGGGGGTTTTGTGGTCTTTTGATCCTGCTGTGGAACGCACTTGTAATAGGTGTCATAATCCATCTTCGCCTAGATTAGTTAAATTTTGATAAAAGTTAATGGTTTCGAGAGTTTACTATCTTTTTTGATCGAAAATAAAAGTATCTTAACACCGTGTCAATAGTTTTTAAAGAGGTTCCTTGTATTGAGTTTTTTTTTCAAAAATGTTGTTAAAGTTTGAAATCAAATTGTTCTTTATAAAATCAAATTTATAAATCAGATTTTAAAAATTCAAAGATAATTTTTTGATGAAATGGAAAGAAATTTTTTTGTAATTTTCATTCGATGTATATAAATATATATATATAATTCACTGTTAATTCAGGCTCTTTTTTGAAGTCTTTCAATTGGAGTGATTTAAAAGCTAAGCACTAGGCTAGCAATCTGTCTAGAAGGCCAAAATCAAATTATAGAGGGCATAAAAAGGGAAGAGCTAGGGATTAATATGTAGATTCAAAGGATTTATCAAGCCGCGCATTTTGTAATTAGAAAGAAGGAAATATTTCTGAAAGGTAATTAACACCCTCATAAATCGTTTGTTTATACAGGGATGCTCGAAAATTTTGGCAGAAATGGAGATTTATTTGAAAAATGGTTTTATTGTAGCCCATTAGTGGAGAGAGATTTTTTCAATTCGCATATGGGGGTTTCTGAGACCAGGATTGACGACGCGACTTGGGGTGAATGGGGCGGGAGGAATTATCACACAGCGAAAGGTGATTTGACTTTTCTTTCATCTTTTTTTTTTTAAAAGTACGATCCAACTTCAACGTCAAGGTTATAAATCGATGACTCTGGACTACATGCTCACAAGTTGTTCAAAAGAACCAGAACATCATGAATCTGTTTGACACCTTCTAGACACAAACCAATAAGAACAATCTTTTTTGTAGACAAATTAAATCGACTGCACGTAATTAAACCGGATTTTCAGGTTGACAATTGAAGCAGCTCATTATTTCCCTGGCTCATTTCAAATGGATGTCTTAGATTTCATGAAAATTGTTTCCTATAATTTAACGTGATTATCAAAAATCCATCATTAAACTCGCTAAAAACCACTTCATCTGAAAAAATGATTGAAGTTATTGTTCGGAGTTTCCAAGAAAATAACGGAATACTAATGCTCGGAGTTTTCTATACAGACAAAATTTGGCGATCGAATTAATAGTGTTCAACGGAACCTTTTTGAGGAAGAAAGATATCGATGCTCCAAGTTCAGATGTGAAAAGATTTTTCACATGCGCATATTTTAAATGAAATTCGAAAATGGTCAATGTGACCAAACTGGACAGTTTTACGAGTGCTCTAGAGGATTTTCTATGATGATCAACGTTTCTTGCACCAAAAAACGCAAATGTACCTTCAGCAGAACTAACCGAGACAGTAATTGAAAGGGCAGTCAGACATTCAGGGCTTTGCTTTGGTGTGAACTGTTTTGTTTCTTTCTGAATACGATGTTAAAAATTGAAATAAGTTTTTTTTTTAATTGTGTTAATAAAAAAGCCAATTATACAAATATACAATTTTGCTTCAAAAACTATCAGCTGAGTGAAACAAAAATAAACAGAATATCTTAAAGAAGATCCTCTTAATGTTAGTGCTCGTCTTCTATTAAAAGATAGGATCTCTTCAACTATTTCCCCCTAGGGTACCTAGTAACGAATCGCCACCCCTATAGTTCAAAATTTAATTCATAAGAAATAATTCAAAATTTAAGCATATGTGAATTATGATGCTAAAAACGAATCTCTCCCCCATTTTGCAACGAGGGGGGGATAGTTAAAGAGATCCGAAAGATAGATAGCGAATCAGCGGTCAAAAAGGGACGAAATTCTCTTAAAGAAGTAAAACAACTATTTTTCTTGAGTCAAAGAAGTAGGGGCGAATTTAGGGGGGGGGGGGCGGATGCCCCCCTCAGGGATTCGACACCCTGTTGACCCAAAGGGTCCCCTCTTTGGTACTTTTCAAGAAATCCATTGTTGGCCGACCGAGCCTAAAAATTTTCTAAAGGCGCCTTTGGCGCCAATATATACTAACTTTGAGGGTGAGCGCGCGCAAATAAAAAACGCGATTTTTTTGACCAAAATAGCGTCTTTTTTGTTCTTTAGGAGAGCTCGGAGAATCAATTTGGTCGACCTTAAAAAAAGTTGTTGAACCCACCCTCGAGAAAATTGTAGATCCGCCCCTGAAAAAAATTAAAAGTTTTCGGGGTTTCCGACAAGGCAAAAAGAACGACAAAAAAGCCTTTTCCTCAATTCTGGTTGAGAAAATTTTCGAAAGCGTTCTCCTTTTAGTATAATTTTACGAC